GAATAAACCTTATCTTATCTCCTTCCACACATACCTTATCTTCATCCTTTGTCTCCTCCATCCAAACTCTTGAAGTTTTCTCCCATTTTACAAAACTTTTGTCTATTCCAAGTAATTCTCAGTCTAAAAATACACTCAGCATCAATGGGGTCTAAAGATAGCACCCCGTTTACATTTTTTTTCTTTTACATAAATAAAATCAGAATTGTATTAATTTGATGCATAAAATCTTTTACATACATAAAATCAAAATTCTACTTATGTACATTTTACACAAACCATAAATACAATATCACTTATTAATAATTTACATTTTCCCCCCAATATTTGATTTACTTGATTGATATTTGGTTCACTTGCGAAGTTCGGCGGAGGAAGCAAAGAAATTGGAGAGATCTGCTTTAGAATCTATGGAGTCTGTCACGAAACAATTTGAATGAAGCAGTGATTCATTGCACAATGCAGAATCTGAGATCGCATCCTTAAAAAAAAAATGGGATTGCTGGAGATCACAATTAGAAAAAAATATGGATGTGTCACGGCTCATCAGGCACGTCGATATCCCATCCATTGCTACAATAAAATCTTATCGATCCATACTTGCTACAAGAAAAAAATTTCTTTCATTTTAGATGTCAAATATCCCAAGTGTGCAACCTTTCCATGCAATAGGTTATCCTCTTCATCCCATACTCGCTCTTCAAATTAGATGAGAAAGGCGATTTAATTTATCTAAGTATTATTCATTGTATTCTTGAATAACTTATGTATCTTATTTGTACGTCCAGTTGTAAGTATGTTGAGCACTGTTCAGTAATAACATCATTTTATTCAATTCCTCCTCCTAAGCATCTCCCCATTTCAAATAAAGGGTGGGGGCAGGAATGCCAGTTAAGGGTTAGGTAAGTGAATGAATACTTTTTAACCTTTATCCTTTTCTAATTGAGAACAGACAAAAAAGGAAAATATATTTTTAACCAGTGTTATGTTTCTCTCAGATGCATGAGAAGTGACTTTGGTAACAACCTCTTATCACACCTTATGGGTTCGATATTTGGCATGCATCACAGAAGAAATGTTGAAGTCGACATAAGGGAAAGCTTGAGATAGAGAGCTTGTTGGAATCAAGAGGCATATATTATAGTTCTCTGAATTATAAAGGAGCTGGAAGACGAGTGGGTCTTACAGAGTTGCAATCGAAAGTCTGCCAGTAAGAAAGCAAGCAAAGCATTGAACTATACAAATGTGTGAAAATTTTGTAATATAATATCGCATCGATCGTTAACATTCAAGACGCTAACATTACCTTCAAAATAACGCAACCCGTGCATTCCCAAAAACTAGTTAATAAAAAAACGTGTAACAAAATATAGCAAAAACTTCATTTGAATTTTCTCAATGTTATTAAATATACAAATGGAAATTATTAGTTGTCATTAACTAACAAAATTTCAAGAATTTATAATAATTTTCTTTTGTTTCTATTTTGATGTTATTTTCCTTTTTATAGAAAAAATTGAAAATGAAAAAAAAAATATTAATATTGTTGACAAAAACATTTTTTGTTTTTGCAAAATAATGATAATAATTAAAAGAAATTCCGTGTTAATGTTGTAGTCAAGATACTTGAATTAATAGAAAATTAAATTTTTTAAAAAGATAAATATATATTAAAAATAAATTTATGATGGAAGACTAAGAGAAATTAAAATGAAAAAATAATGAAATAGTATATAAAGTGTTAATTATGTAACATATAGAGTGTAGTTTGTCGTTTTCAATTAAGGATATGTGGGTCGGTTTAACTATTTATAATTCAAATTTGTAAATATTTCTATCCTTCCTTCAAAATGTATATATTTTTTTTATTACCAATAAGTAAAATACAATATGCAAAATATAAATTTGTAAAATAATGCATGAAATTAATATTTCTGAATGATTAAAAAAATACTAAATAAATTAATATCACTCACCACATGACGTTTGCCAAGGAGATCCATGTCTCCAAATGCATGATAAAGAAGATAAGCAGAGTATATTGAAT